TACCGTATCTTCCTACTTAATTATATTTTTATTCATTAGTCTACTTATAATGCATCTATATTTCCTACTTCAGACTGGCGCCAATTTATCCCGTCTTCGGTCTCCACGAGTTTGGGAGCCCAAGTCTCTCCAGAATAATGAGGTAACCAGCCCACCACCCTATACACCTCCGCCAATGCTGAGTCCAAACCGCAGAGGTCCTGGCCTCTTCTATTCCCTCACAAAGTCAAGTCATACAGCCTTCTCACTATCAGCGTCAGGGAAGGCAGCAAGTTCTGTCGTAGCTGCTACCCTCGACTCCGTCACCGACTCAGTAACCGATTCAAGAATTTATGCCAACGACTACAGAAATTCAGTACACAAGCATCCGGAAAGGACAGATCGACAATGGCAAATTATTTCTTTCGAGGAAAGCGAGGTCTTGACAACAGGAAAAGAACCAAAGGCCGTTGGTGGTTGTATCAAACCTCGGTTTACCTCTACCAAGATTTCAAATGGACTGAATCGAATATTTAGCCTGGATGGGCCATTTGATGAGGCACGTCTGGCCAGGTCGAGCCTCAGGTATGTGGGTTTGATGAGCCAAATAATATGGTTTTATATAGGCAAATCTGAGGGTGAAAATATAGTGCGTTCTATCAAGGTTCTGCAGCTTGTGAGGCAGAATTTAGAGAGGGCTTTTATATCTTTACTGAGCCAGGGTAGAAACCTTTCTCAAATTCTCTTGAGATGCTAAAGAAATCCGTCCTTAACAATGCTTGCTTACTTAAGCTTAAATTATTTTCACTTTAGGCCAGAAGTCGTTAGTTAATCTTAATTTACCACAATGAATAGTCATCGCCTTGCCTATTAGATGCATTGTTGCTGCAAAGAGGCAGTTACTTCTAATGCAATTGTTATAGAACTGAAATACACTTATTTATGGTCATCCATATTATCGCATGTCCTTTAGTGAATCAGAATATTTTATTCTTAACTATCTAATGAGCGTCATCTTTTCTACGTCAAATAGCGTGGATTAATATAGCAACATTCTAATAATAACCACAGGGAGAGTAATTTGCATATTGAGCTTATTTCCATTTCGAATGAAAGTTTTTGGTGAAGAGATTCGAAGGTCGATCCCACCGGAAGACGAAGGTAGATTCCCCTTGACCACTGTCGATTGGCCTTACTCGAACATTCTTGTTGACACTGTTATCGAGATAATTTTCTATTATTTAGGTGAAAACGTGCTAGGCTTTCGTCCGTCGTATGATAAACATCATCAGAATAGGGTATCACCTTACAACCATATTCAAGCAAACGAGTCAATAAACTCAACTGATCATCCCTTTCTTGACTCGATAGCTTGAATATGGTTGTAAAGATGGTACCCTGCTCTGATGATGTTCGTCATACGACGGACGAAAGCTTAGCACGTCTTTATCGGAATCGAATGGGATTACCTCGGAAATAGTTTCAACAAGAATGTTCCAGTAAAGCCAATTGACAGCTGGTCAAAATGAATCCGCCGTCGTCTTCTGGTAAGATCGACCTTCGAATCTCTTCACCAAACACTTTCACTCGAAATGGAAATTAGCTCAATAATTATGAAACAAGAGGTTCCTCGAAACCCAACTTTCTTTCGCATATAATATGGTTATGTCGCTAGCGACCATGTTTCCTATCTTCACTCGCGTTTTCAGAGGATGATAGTTTTTCCATCTA